GATATATCGAAAAAACTAAAGGGGGGGCAAAAAAATGCCCCCCCCACCGCCTGGAAGGTTAAGAGACGGTTGTTTCATATCAATTATTTTACATAAAATCATATTTCAAACCATAAATGAATGTTCGACAGCCAAATTAAAGAAACAATACCAATACAGGCTTACAGTTTAAGTTCGACATTGTGTTGTCTACGATTAGCCAGCTGATAACTCATTCCCGTACGTCGTAACTCTATAATGACCTTTGCTTATTGTCACATGTGCGCCGCATTCGCGATTGTTGCCGACGCCTGTTTGCAGGTCAGCCCACTACAGTTGTTATGCATATCGAAAAACCGATAAACTTTTAGGCGAAAAAAGGACTATTCCAGGCCCATTTTTGATTTTTTTGCGATATTAGGTAAAAACAGAAGCTTCTTATCCTAAGAAAAATAAAATGGGAAATCTTTGAAAGGTGGCACACTACCTTTAAAATACTTCGGTGCTGTTATGACACATAAATCGCTTATCAGCATGTTCCTCATCGTGTGATAAAGCCATATCCGAGGTAGAAAACAATAGCCGAGCCCCTCCCAATTTCCAAGCATTGACCTTATAAATAAGCAAAGGATCTAAGCGTAATCCTTAAGGGCGACTTTCCGTTACATATCCGTACATATGCGTCCTTATGGAAATCGGTAACGTAGCCATTGGCGACGCGCGCGACATCTGTGCGGCGACTGTGGCGACACCTGGTGGCTGCTTTTCTGCTGTATGTAGGTATTGGTTTTTTCCAGATATGATTCCTACTGCTACACCACTTTGTTGACCCAATACTAGAAAGTTATTTTGCCAGTAAAAGGCAAGCAACTTGAAACTTAAGTAATAAGTTTTAAAATTACTTATAAATGATTACGAGATAATAATAAATAAATTATGATGGAATAATTATATAAATATTCAACCGTGAAAATATATTCTGGTAGGTTTAGTAGAAATTAGTCCGTGCAACCTTGCATTTAGGGCCTTGGTTTTATCGAGACACGGACCAAAGCCTTCACTTCTTCTACAACACAGACATTTACCCAATATCCTCTTAATAAAGTCAAAATTGTCGCTGATAAATGTTTAGTTAGGTTTCATTTTTAACCCTCGCCCTGGCAGGCCATTTTTCATAACACGGCCTGGCAGGGGGGAGGGGTCGATGCGACCCCCCTCGCGATTGGCTCCTATGGCACCTACAGGGTGTAACGAAATTATCCGGACATCTTTCTTCGCGCTGTAATTAAGAAGCAGGACAATCTGATATTTTCTCTTTTGAGTTATTATAAAGCCACCTTTCATAAGAGCGCAGGTACAAATTTCTGGAGCCTTCCAGCCACTGGATTTTTCAGCACAGTGGGTTTCATGTAGAGCAGCGCCTTACTAACCTGTGCCCACAGTTGGGCGGCGCTGGTGGCGGGTGTCCCCTCATTCATCTCCTTCTGGACAATAGTCTATAAGATATTGATGGAATTGGGATGGGAACTATTTCCAAGCCATAGCCCGTTAGCCCAGAAAAACAATAGGTCCTATCGGCATCACTTCTCATTCTGCTAGGGACTTGAAGGTGGTGTGCCGCCCGCATGAAGACTGCGCGGCTTGAATCAGGCATCAGTACGCGTTCAGAAACCGAGCCCTCCTGTGCCGTCTGGCTGAATGGCTCCAACCAATCGCTAGCCAGGATGTTGCGCCGGTAATACTCGTCACTGATAGTAATTTTCTGTGGCGTCATGAACAGCTTGATATTGCACAGCAGCTGAACATGCTCCAGGGCTGGATTTTGGCCGGATGTTTGACGCCGGCGACGGCCGGCATGTTCGAGCTGCTGGCAGCCCACACATGGCCGATTTGATGGTTCAACGGACATCGCAGCTCGAACAGCTTCCCATCCGACCAGGCCACCTCATTCATGTCTTCCTTCGACCAGTGGACACGCCCTGGCGTGAGGCCAAAGGTGGTGGACTGGTTGTTTTCCCGCCAATTTCATTGTCTTTTCAGTTTGAAGAGCAGTAAAACCAAGCTAAAGGCGGGTAACGGTGACTCATGATGTGGGACCTCTTAATATCTACCTTGGTAAGAATTCGAGTCAGTTTGCGGATTAATTGGTGCCGTTTCCTTGTCGCTATCCTGACAACTCTCCTCACCACTTGGGCGCCCTTTGCGATCGAGGCCGGGGTGAGTCTGCCACCAAGTCCAAGCTTATTACGCCTCAGGCAGATGTGCTACTGGCTGCTGCTGATGTCCAGCTGCTGACAGACAAGCTTCTGGCTCATGCCACCATGCCACCAACACGTAGCCTTACTACGAAACGAGAGACTTCAGACTGTACTCCCTTCTCTCCACTCTGCCTTAAACGAAAACTATCAAATGAGCCCGGGCGGCGACTCGACTCTTACTCAGAGCAAGAGTCGTTTCGCAAGGTCAGGTCACTGCTGAGTTGAGAGCAGATACCAGAGGTATGCATTCATCCAATTTTCCAGCTTCTAACATTAAAAAAGGTATGGTGCAAGCAGATATGGCGAAAAAATAGATCTCCGGATAATTTCGTTACACCCTGTAGAAACACCAAATTTGGTAGGTAAGTGAGCCCCCTGGAGTTCTTGCCCTGTGCAAATTTCGTTGCTCTAGGTCAATATTTAGGGGGATTTGGGGGCGGTATGAATGTAAAAATTTCGCTAAAAGCAGGTCAAAAGTTTTTGGCTCATAACTTTTGATATAATTCAGACAGAGCAAAAAGAAAAGCACCAGTGAACTCAGCACGTCAAGGCGCGTCGAATGATATATTTTTTTGCTTGCTTAAGTGTACTTAAAAGGTTAAGCACATCTTAAGTACAACTTAAGTCTTAAGAATGATCGAAATGCTTAATGTTGCATATCATTTGACTCGGCTCTTCAAGAGGAACAGAATGATACCATTTTGAAAGCTGTATCTTTATTATGTGACAAGTTATTGGCACAAACGTCATTTGACCTCAGTTGACCTCATTTGACCTGACCCATGGATAAGTAGATACACCAAGATAAGTGGATACACCAAACAAAGAAGCACCAAGTGACATAATGTTAAGTACTGAGGCTTCAAAGCACAAAAGTGATAGAACGAAGCAGATATCTCGAGTGTTTTCCGAATTGAATATTTTCCCATAGGCTTAACATTACGACGTAATGACCTCTAACTGACCTCAGGTCAGTGACATAAAACACGAACTATATGTTATACAACTCGGTGAACTTAGCACATCCTGAAAGTTTGAAAGAAATCAGTGAAAAACTGTGAATTGGACAGGTGCGTAAAGAAAATTGAAATTTGACCATGACCTTGTACGGGTTTTTCTGACCTGGTGACCTGAACCAAGGTCATCCGGACCTGACATTTTCAGGTCATATTTAAAAAGGTTGCCCCATAGGCTGTGCCAAATGTGGCGGCGCTGCGCGCCGCCACATCTTTTTTGCCACCACGTTTTTGCGCTATCTTCGAAAAACTTTAGGGGAGGGTTAGGGTTAAGCCAGGGCCGAGGGTTAAGAAAATATTTTTGGTCTTTTTTCTGGAGCCATTTTAACTCTTTTCTTTTCTGATTCTTTTCGACCCGATACCTAAAACCCACCAAAACTGAACGTGCCAAATGAAAAATATCCAACTCAAATAACAATTTAGAAAAGCCTAAGACATCATGCAACTATCGACTGAATAGCTGCATGCTATGAATGCGTCCTAGATTTGAATTATCATTGTTCAATATTTTGGCTGGAAGTGGCGCTACCTCTCGCTTGCCCGTTTGTTTGAGATAATGATTCCCTTCAGTCGCATTCTTGCTGGTTCCACATGAACAGGATACCACCATACCGAAGTGAACGCGCCCGCAACAATCATCCCCTCCCCTCAGCCTCGGCGCAGTGGCGGGAGGCCCTGGACGGCCCACTCCCGGCGCTACGCACGCCCCATACCTGAACCACTTGACTTGTTCAAGTGGTTCAGGTAGCGCTTGCGTAGCGCTCAGGTAGGTCGTCCATGATAGGCGGCGGAACGGGGAGGGCACCGGGGCACCGTGCCCCCCTTTGATTTTGGTATTTTAACATTAGCCCTATGGGCGTTGCATGGAAAGAATGGGACCAAAATTCGGCAGTGCCCCCCCCCCCCCTAATTGAAGGTGTGCCGCCGCTACTGCGTCCATCCCTGAGGTCAACCAGGGTTTGCCAGATCCAGAATGGTCCTTATCGCCAAATTCGCCCCTCGAATTTCGCCAAAATTCGCCAAATAGGATGCACTGTATAAGCATACGTAGCAGCGCAAGTTGGCGTTCGTGTAACCGTGTTCACGATTCGTTTCCAAGTTCCCGATTTACCTATCTTGTTTCTCATATTCATCTACATAACAGCGTACCTTAACCAGCGCCAAATAAAATAGCAAAGGCAGAGGTGGAGATCTCGGGGGGGGGGGTCGGGGGGTCAGGACCCCCTGTAAACGAATTACTGCTATGTAAGTCAATGGCACTGCATCCAGCCCGCCTCCATCTGCCCGGCCTGGACCCCCCTGACATTTTGACAGATCTCCACCCCTGAGCAAAGGTCGTGCGAGATGTGGTTCAGAAGATATTTTCATCAGAAACATTTTATATTTGAGTGCCTAATATGAAACGTTGGAAGGTTAAATTAATCAGATTACGAAATATTTTGTAACGATGTTTTTTGCTTTGTTTTGTTTATTTTTAAAAATAATATTCGGTGATTTGGAGGCGAACTCTGGAAATTCGCCAATATTTGACGTTTTATCCCCTATCGCCAAACGCCGTGCTTCTATCGCCAATGACTTCCAAAAATCGCCAAATTGGCGACATATTGCCAAGTCTGGTAACCCTGAGGTCAACTGGTTCAGTGACTCTGAACTTTGCCAGTCCTTCCTCAGTCGGGCTTGAGGGATCCACCGCACCATTGCGCGGCACTTTCAAGACTGACTGTATGGTGTCAGGTGTGGTGCTTACTTTCATGTTGCCGAGCCGTTTGGTGCGGTCCTGGACCAGCAGTTTTTTGACGAGGTCCTTGGCCACGGGATCGATATGGCGCGGCCACTCGATCTTGCCGGCCAGGATTTTCTCGTAGATGCCGAACGGGTTGTCATCAAAGAACGGCGGGTAGCCAGACAGCATCTCGTAGACCAGGATGCCTGACGGAGGGCACAGCACAAACACCATGAGACATTGCGGCACACTATGATACATCTCGGCAACAAACACCATGAGACACTGCGGCATACTATGATACATCTCGGCAACAAACACCATGAGACACTGCGGCATGCTATGATACATCTCGGCAACAAACGCCGTGGGACACCGCGGCAGCAAACACAATGACACACTGCGGTAACAAACATGGTGGAATACCGCTGCAACAAACACTATGAGACACTGCAAAAGCCAACATGGTTGGACTGGAATGCCGCTGTAACTAACACCGAGAGAAATTGCTGCAACAAACACAATGAGACACCGCGGCAACAAACACGGAGACACCGAGGCAGCGAATACTGTGAGACACCGCGGCACACTGTGAGAGACCTCGGCAACAAACACCGTGAGACACTACGGCAGCCATTTTTCTCAGTGTACCACAACAGCTGGTCTGCTCCTCCGTGCGCCCCCTGTCCGTCTTACCCAGCCCCTGCCCGTCTTACCCAGCCCCTGTCCGTCTTACCCAGCCCCTGTCCGTCTTACCCAGCCCCTGTCATCTTACCCAGGCCCTATACGTCTTACCTATCCCCTGTCCTCCTTACCCAGCCCCTGCCCGTCTTACCCAGCCCTGTCCGTCTGACAAAACCCCTGTCCGTCTTACCCAGCCCCTGCACGTCTTACCCAGTCCCTGCACGTCTTACCCAGCCCCCTATCCGTCTTACCCAGCGCCCACCAGTCGACGGCTTTGTTGTGGCCCTTGGACTGAATGATCTCCGGCGCGAGGTACTCCGGTGTGCCGCAGAGAGTCCACGTCCTGCAGGAAGGCCCGCGGGGGTCAGAGACACGCATAGGTCAGATAACCGGGATTTGTCAGCGGCTTTGCCAGGCGCTTGGAATGCGGCATATTTACGTCTGGACAACGAGTTGCGTTGGAGAGGCCGGAAATAGTGGCGATTTCTGGACTGCAAGAATGGACCGTCATTGGAATGATTCTTTTTCAAACCGTGCACTGTTTTTAGCCGAAATTTGATAGTTACTACAAAATATTTATGTAATTACATTTGGCCAAGAATGAATGCCACCAGGGAAGGTTTTACTGCCATTGCATTTTGTCCAGAAGCATATAGTGCTGTTATATTGCAGTTTTTGCGCTTCTGTTACAAAATATGAAGCGAACATGCATCAGCACTCAAATATGTCTCGTCGAAAAACATAGAAAAGGCTGTGATCTGCACAGACTCAGCTTCATCGGTAAAGACAATAGCTCACAGAAAAATGGAAAAAAACGAAATCGTTTATAAAATAAAAAAGATGATTATTGGCTTTACCGATGAAAACAAACACGTCATTCTCCTGTGGATTCCGTCCCACGTTGGAATACAGGGGAATGAAAAAGCGGACAAGCTAGCCAAAGAAGGTCTTCATCTCCCATCTCGAAATCATCTCGCTCTCCCCCTTCCGGATTTTCTGTCTTCGCTCTTCCGTGCCTTCCAGAGATACTGCCAAAAATGCTGGATAGATGATCATACACCACATCTCTTCTCCATTAAACCGAAACTTTGCCATTTCTACTCTTCCCATCAAAACACAAGGATCAAAGAGAGAGTCCTAGCCAGGCTCCGGCTCGGCCACACCCAACTCACCCACAACTACATCCTGGACAGAGCACCTCCACCCATATGCCACCACTGCCGCGACCACCCACGCTACACCATCTCACACTTCCTCCTCCACTGCCCACACCTACACCAGCACCGCAGACATATAGTACAATACATTAACACACATGGACTCTCTCTCGACCTTCCGACTCTCCTGGGCGACACTCATCCGGATATCCACGACCTTCTGTTCGTCTTTCTCGCCGACGCTCGGATCATCAAGAGCCTTTAGCGTGTTAGGGCCGCGGCTGCCGCCCCTAAAACGCTAACCAGAGCCCTCGTCTCCCGGCTCACCCCCAAACGCACACATTAATTAATCGCGGTTACAGGGCTTTTTCCCTCGCGCCGTTTTGGCTTAGGTGCGAGGTTTTTGCCCTTTGCGTTAGGCGTCGGTTTTTTTTATTATTTAGGACTTTTTCTCCCGACCATTACACCCCACGACAAGGCCCCGCCGGGGGGCTGGAGCCTAGAAGGTCTTATACCTTCTGTCAGTGCGATGAAAGCTTCCCGGCTCCATTACACTGACACCAGCTCACAAGTGTTCATGTCTATCATGTATTGTTAATAAAAGTCATTCCCACTGTTGTGTTTGCGACTCCAGACATCTCGGCTCTTTGGCTGTACACGTAAGTACCTCCCTTAGCTTTGGTTCCACATTAAGATAGGATCCCACGTTGTTTTTGCTACCGGGTTCACATAAACCGGTTTAACGTAACACTTGCTGCCCGGCGAAAATTGCCGGAGTAACTGCCCCCTGCTCGGGAATGGCACTAGGCCGACCGAGCAAAAAAAAAAGCAACAGGTTCCAAAGTAACGTTGATGTATATCACAAAATATCATATAGACCTCAAGCTCTCATCCGTTGCATGATTGAGTAGACAGATTAACACATTTCAAGTTTATCTTGGATCAGAGGTATCAAAGTAATTCATCAGTGTCAGAGCCCAGAGAGGTTAATTTGAGGGGAAGCTACGATAACTGCTCTTGTCCATCCTGATCCACTAAGAAGTTATTAAAGTGACCATCCCACCTTAACATTAGTTTTGAGTTGAGATAGCCAAATTGGTGGCCATGGCCTGCAAATACCGGTTTGGGCACTCACAACATCGAAAAATGCTTTAATTCGGATATATTTAATTTCAAACTTGCAGTTTTCAGATTCTAAGGGGCCAATGCATTGGGATGCCCCCTTAGAATTTGTGACGTCAGCGGTGATCTAACGATTTTAAAACCTTATACTAGCATCTTTGTGAAGCAGCGGTGGATATATGCTATTTGCGCGCAACATCTGCCGCAAACGCCGTACTTCCAAAATGAAGTCGCTAGGAACAGCGGAGATCCCAAAAAGTAAACAAAAGTAAAAGTCTAATATCTTGAAAACCGGTGAATATTTTTCGGTGAAATTTGGTAGATATTCGTTTTTGCTCTTTCTGAACCGAGCGACATCACTTTCATGCCAATTCATTAGCTTTTTTGAAGGTGGGAGGGTCCCTTTAAATATTTTGTTTTGTGTATTCCAAGAGGAGAGGGAACTATTTTATTTGTGCCTTCATTGAGAATTGAAGATCGATCATTAAATTTTCAAGGCAGTTAATCAACCAAACCAAGCATTTAGCCATTCTCGTATATAAGCAGTGGCTAAGAAGAAAAGGTTGATAAATACTGAAGTTCAGTCATCTTACTTCAACTTGGCAGCAAGATCCCCAAGGACAGAGGATATATAAAGTATACCTATCCTGTAAATCAAAGTATTTTGGTGCCTGCAAAGGCTTGCGTTATTTGTGGTGTGCTCGCGGAGTGAGGCTATGAGCGTTTTTGTTGTGTTTATGTGGAGATTGAATATAACTGTGACCCTGTGTTTGTTTGTGTATTTACTACAGTCAAACATCACATCCACATAAAATACTCACCTAGCTCATAGGTGTACCCTGCAGAATTTGTACTTGTTGATGTCTGGAGCATGAACAAAGCACTAAAGTAGCTTAATTATCATTTCCCACAGTTTCTGAGCATCTAACATGGCACAGCAGTGCAGAGCAGCTTCAGAGAAGAACACTTTCAATGCACAGACTCACACCAGCCACCCAATGAGCCAGTTCCTCATTTGGCTGTTTCCCTGGATGCGGCTTGGCAAAAGTGAGCTAACTTGGCAACGGCTTGACGCGAGCTAACTGTTTTTAAGTTGTTAGCAGGTAAGATTGAGTTAGGGTGAGTATCTATCACATAACTGGGTGCTCCTGCTATGGGTAGGTTGCAAATATGTGTGATGATTGAGGCAAGGTTAGGTTAGTCAGGTCACATTTTTTATGGACACTTGGCAAATTAAATAAAAACTAGCATAACCTAATCTAAGCTGACCAAACTAAACCTACACAACTACTAACATAGGTACTAAGCACCTAAGTTCTTGTGCCTACATCTCATACCAACTCGAAATAAAGTTCCTTGCTGGAAGATTACCCTCTAGTACATTTTATCCCAGCCCTGTGAAGAAAACTAATACTCCTAAGTCCTGAGTCACTTCTGGCCATCCACAGAAAGAATTGCGCTGAGAGCTTTGCTATTGTATATTGGACCAAAGATCACCATCACGAATGACTATTAACACGTATCATATGATCACATCGTTGCATGGCTTGTCACATTGACAATTTTACTTAAATCCTTTTTTCAAGAAATGCAAAGTTTCATTTGCCAGACACTTGAGTAATGCACATTGCCATCTGCATAGCAAAGTAAAGCTGCCCGAGTTCGTTCATTCTAGATTTTTTCACTTCATAGTAAGCACTTCATAGTTATAATCTTGCTGTTATAAGTTATAATTAATTATTCATCCCAATACATAAATAGACAATATGCAATCATCAGCAAACATTTTTTGACTTGATACTGCTCAGCGTGCTCTACAGTATTGATCTCCTGCAATATTATAGCTTGTTTTCGGCCAATAAGCTCTTTTGATTTTACTTTTATTGCTGATAAGTGAGCCAGATCAACTTGCGTTTATCAACCAACATTTCCTAACTTCAACTTGATCTTGCTCAGGACGATCAGGACCTCTCTTAGCATCCTCCTGGATACGTGGGATTGTTTTCAGTCAACATTTACTTACCTGGTTGGTTCCCTTCACCAAGTATACAGTCACAGGAAGGAGTGGCAAGGAAAAGAAAGGAACCCATATCGAAAGACACGCCAGTTCCGTTTAAAGACCAGCCATGTTTGAGTATTGCAGTGTGTGAGCCATGAACTGGAAATGTGTGTCGCCATTTAACCTATCGTAATACATGATCGAGTATCGGGTGTTAGTACCTTTTGTTCTCGCTAATACCCTAATTTCACACTAATTGCGTTTCACATGTCACATTAGCACCAAATATTTTACAAACGTATATGAAATATACACAGGGCAAGAAGGCTAGACATAATCAAATAGCAGGTCCGGTATCACATCATCTAACCCTCGCTTAAAAGCAGATACATCAGGGGCATCAACAACATGTTCTGGTAGGCGATTCCATGCATTGACACATCTCTTTGAGAATGATCTTTTCCTCACATCTGTGTTCACATGCGTCACACCAATCTTGTACAAGTGTCCCCTGGTGACACGGGTGAAGGGCTGAGGGAACATGATCTCCGGGGGGACGCAGCTTTTCCTGTGGAAAATTTTTCCAATACTGTATGAGATCTGCTCGCGAAAGCCGTCCCTTGACCGAGTACAGACCTAACTCCCTCAGCCTGTCACTATATGCGAGATGTTCGAGCATGCTATTTGCTTGGTCCAGTACCTTTGGAATCGTTCGAGCCTCCGATCATCCTCGATATAACCAGTGTGCCAAACGCACGAGGCATATTCAAGCACAGGTCTCATGTGCGTTTTAAGAAAGAACAACATGAATTCCCGAGACCGACAGACAGTAGATTTGAGGAAACTGTGCCCGAGACCAGCGACCTTGCGGGTGACAGATGATATGTGGTCGTGGAACTTCAGTGAGTCATCAACGATGAAACCGAGATCGGTATGGGACTTGGGAGTAGGTAACTCTTTACCATCTAAGACGTAACGGGGCGAGGCATGCTGTCTCCTAGAAAACCGGAGCACCACGCATTTGTTAGGATTCAGGCGAAGACCCCAAGACTTGGAAGTGCTGGA